TTTTTTTTCCCCCAGAACCAGGGATTGAACTCAGGCTCTTACACTTGCCATGCAAGCACTTAGTCTACTGAGCTATCTCCCCAGCCCCCTTTTTCAGTATATTGCACCTGCTAATGTTAAAGTACCCTTGGAAAAGCAGCATCATACTCTGGCCAGGGATCATGACAACATGGTTAATTACAAATGTTGTCTCTATCATTCATCATTGGTACTTAGGAGTCAAAATCATTTTTACAGATGGTAGTCTGAGGAATTAAGTGTTCAGCTGAAGTAAACCAGATGAGAATCAAGTAAGAATTTCAGAAAAAAGAAAAGAAAAGAAACAAAGAAACATCTGACTTATGTATCTGGAGATTTGGCAACCTATAAGACCAAAATTTTTTTTCTAATTCAGAGCATCTAGAATTACTGACCAAGAAATGATTTTTAAATCCTATTTACTATACAGAAGGAATCAAAAGAAAGGAAAGGAAAATTCAGGCTCCAGTAGCAAAGAAGATGGAACAGCAGGAATAAGCACCGATCACGTACACAGTGTTATATTCATGCAATAGATTAAGAGACAGAAATAACAATGAGTGAACTTCAGCCCCATGAAGGCATGTGATAAAGGAGATTCACAAACACAATGATGAAGCAAGCGGGACGCGAAGGAGTCCAGCCACAGCCTCCCGAACTCCTAGGTGGGACTTTCCGGAAGTGGCTGGATCTACGGAATGTGCATAGGATTAAGGGTGAGTGACATCTGGATTAGTCCCCTAATTGGATTAGCATAGTTCTGGGCATGGCTGAATGGATTTACTGAGGAAGGAAGCTCAACCCTGCGTGAGGGTGGCACCAATCCAAAGCTGTAGCCTGGATGGGACAGAGAGGGTGAGGGCAGCCCCCTGCTTCCTGCCTGCGTGACCCTCCACCACACCAGCCTGCTTTAGAGCCAGCACCAGTGATGTGGGGATTGAGCTCAGGCCCTTGCACTTACCAAGGAAGTGTTTATTCTGCTGAGCCATCTTCCTGGCCCCTTCAAAAGAAACTTCCTCCTCTCACTTGTAGATGCTGGGTATTTTGGTCCTAGCAATGAGGAAGCAACCAAGATACTTTATGGCTGTGTCTGTGTATAATTCA